AAGAGTTTACTACGAATAGCATGAAAACCATAACCTACCTCCACCGAAGATTCGTGATCAAGCAAGCAAATTTTCCCAAAGCTTTGTGTTTTTCCCCTTCTCGATCGTCTCTCTCTCTCTATCGATTCCCTTCTCTTTCTTTCTGTTCTTTTCTTTTTCTTATTCCAACCCTCTTTCTTTTACCCTAATTAGTATATAATTAAGAATAAAAGATGGCAATAATAACCCACTAATTAACTTAATGTTACCTCTTTTAACCCCCAAGTAATTAGACTTATTAACATTAACCCACTAACTTTATAATTAAAGTAGGAATAGTCCAAAACGTCCCTTAAAACGTGTAAAGAAATCCGACCCAGACTGGGATTTCGCAGTCTGTGACGGCCTGTCGCGCCTACGACGGTCCGTCCTGCTGCCCGTCACAGAGTTCAGAGACTCAATTTCTCTGAAGAGTCTGTGACGGTCTGTCACACCTGTGACGGTCCGTCCTGCCATTCCGTCACGAAGTTCAGAGAGTCGATTTTCAGTACCCAATTTCAGATTTTCTAAGTGTTTTGAAACGAGACCCTGCGACGGTCCGTCGTGCCCATGACGGTCCGTCGTGGGGTCCGTCGCTTCTGCCAGTTTTTCCAGAATTGAAGTCTGCTGCCCAAAACGACTAAACAGGTCGTTACAGGTATATAATATAATTATTAGTGGGATATGAATGTAAAGTAATATATGTTGGATTAATTACTTAAGTGGATTCTTTTTAAAAAACAATTACTTATTTTAAATATATTCTTTAATTATTACCATTTATAGCAATATATAACAATACTATATATTTCATTAAATTTGTCTTTCCCTCTCACCTCATTTTCCCTTATCTCTCTTGCTTTTTTTTTTTACTTTTATCTCTCTTTCTCGCTTTTTCTTCCTTTTGCTCTTTCTCTTATATTTTTCTTTCTATTCTCTGTTGCTTTTTTTTCTTGTTCTTTTTTTCGTCTCTTTCTCTGCTTTTTTCGTTTTCTCTCTATTTTCTTTCATAAAGTAGTTAATGATTCTTAGACTAAAAAAAATTGAATAAAAATTAATTAATTAGGCAAGTAATCTAATTGTAACGAATGAATAGACTTAATAAATTACAAAATGAATTAAACTTACATTAAAAATGAATTCCACAAATATTAAAGTTGAATTGGAATACAATTAAATATGAATGCAAAATGTAGCAAACGAAAGAACATTCTATGATCTCTAAACTGAATGAATTTGTATTAACAATGAATTTCACAAGTAATTCAATTATAACAAATCAATCAATAAGTTGCAAAATAAATTTAAATCGTATTACACAAATATTAAAACAAGTAAATAAATTAAATTTGCTTTAAAATTGTATTACACGATATTAAAGTTGAATTAGAAGAGAAAATTAAGAATGAATGAAAAACATAACTAACAAAAAAAGAGACATCAATTAATAAATCGAATTAAATTTGTATTATTCATGAATAATCATGTATTATATGTATCTTATAAACTATTTTGAGTTTGTATCACTAAGAACACAAGTGATTTTGTAATATGTATTAAAAATATATTGTGCATATATTATTAGTGTGTTACCTAAATTATTATTGTTGATACATTAAAAGGGTAGTGAAATTTGCCATATGTATTATAAATGTAGGATATATTGGTCATAATTTTAATACAATTTTAGTATAATTATAAAACATATCTAATACGACTTTAATACAAACCCGATATAGTTCCACAAACTTCATCATTTTTGAGCTTCAACGTAGCATTTCTCCTAAAATCAATTTTAAACTTAGCCAAACCTTTTTAAAATTGAGATATAAACTCCAAAAGATATTTTCAATTATTTGTAGGAACAATCTATCCAAACTAATCGCAAACAAAATAGCAAACAAGTAAACTAATCATAACACATGAAGAAACATAATAAACTGCTGAATTAATTAAACTTGAATTAAAAATGTATGACACACATATTCAAGTTGAATAAGAAGCGAATTAAACTTGAATGCAAAATGTAGCAAACTAAAGAGTATTATATGATTTGTAAACTAAATAAAACTTATATCAATAATGAAATAATCAAGTAATTTAATCGGAGCAAATCAATCAATAAACTCCAAAATGAATTAACTTGTATTAAAAATGTTTTATACAAATATCAAAATTGAATTAGAAGAGATAACTAAACATGAATAGAAAATTTAACTAATGAAAGACTAGCCAATGATCTACATAGTGAATTAAACTTATATCAATAATGACTTAAGCAAGTTATCCAATAGTAACAAATAATAACTACAAAATGAATTAAATTTGCATTAAAAATGTATACACAATATTAAAGTTGAATTAGAAGAGAAAATTAAAAAAAAAAGAGAAAAATGTAACTAACGAAAGCCAAGACAATAATTTCTATACTGAATTAAACTTGTATTATTCATGAATAAAACATATATTATATGTGTCTTATAAATTTTGATTTGTATCACTTAAAACATGAGAGATGTTTGCATATGTATTAAAAATGTAGTGTGCATGTATTATAATTAAGTGTTTTACCTAAATCATTTGATTGGTATCTTTAAGAAGAGAGTAAAGTTTGCAATATATATTATAAATATACTGTTCATGATTTTAATGCAATTTTAATATAATTATAAAAAATATCTAATTCAACTTTAATACAATTGCGATACAGTTCCATAAACTTTATCATTTTCGAGTTTCAGTCTTATATTTCTCCTATAATCAGTTATAAACTTAACCAAACCTTCTTAAAATTGAGATATAAACTTCAAACTGCATTTTCAATTATTTGTAGGATCAATCTATATCCAAACTAATCATGAGTTCGTAAGATTCATAAAATGAAATCAAAATTTGAAACTTTATAATGACCATCAATGTAAATTCTTGATGCTGTAATATTAGAGATTTGAAAATTTTGTTTGAGAACATTATATTGTACAAATTTTTTATTCTTCTATTTTTCTTCTCGTTATATTTTTTGATAAAAATACTAAAATAGGGACAAAAATTTATTTGAGAATTATTTAAATGAAAATTTAAAAAGAAGAAGAAGAATAAAAAAAAAGAGGGGGAAGAGAAAGAATAACAGAAAGAGATGAAGAAGAAAATAAAAAGAAGATGACGAGGAAGAGAAAAGGTCAAAAAAAGTGAAGCGGTACAATTATTCAATCCAAAAAAAAATTATATTTAGTTAGAAAATTTTTATTGTCATAGATGGTAAATATTTTTTTAATATATTATATTTATGTGATTTACCCATATATATTTATAATTATTTTACTTTTATGAGATATTTGCTTAGTTTTCACTATTTTAAGTAAACCCATCCATGTAAGTAAGTTCGTACCTAGGTTGCTCACAGTCATGAGTCCATATTTTTAAGGAGTTCGATACAAATACAATTAGGGCTATGCATAAAATATCAAAAATTAAATTATACAATTGAACAAAATTAAAATTTTTAGTAATTTTTGATTCTATAATTTAATATTTGATATGATATTTGAGAGAAATTTTAAAATAAATGTATTCGAATTTGTGTTTAGCATGAGACATAGTACCATTTGGTATTCAAATATTTTTCAAATACTAAATTATATACTTAATGAAGGTCATATCAACATGTCGTTTAATCATATTAATTTGTTTTTTCTTTTTTAATATTTCTTACTTGTTGATCTTATATTATATGGTGTTTTTTACATAAAAAATAGAAGTAATTGAAGAAATAGAATTAACTTTATAATACAATAGGCTACAAGTTCAATAATAATACTATTACCGAATACCACGCTAGATCAAAATTTAATTTATCAATTATCAAATTATTAAATTAATATTTAAAATTTTAATATTTAATATCTATTTTTATCTGCCAATTACGCTGTTACCAGAGTTTAAATTTGAAACTACGAAACCAAATATGAACATCCATCACTAAAATGGGTACAATAATATTTTCGAAGAGTTTGGGAGCTCTTAAAACCTACCTTTTCCCACTTCCGAGTTCTTCATTCCCCTTACGCAACAGAAGAGAAAAAGCTGTGCCCATTTTGCTTTCTAAGCTCAATTTGCAGTCTTCCGTTTCCAGTTTCAATCTTCAATGTCTGCTTCAATCCAATTGGAGGAAGAGATTGAAGGAGATCAAATTGGCTCCAAAAATTATCGTTTCTCCAGAATCGGTACACCCGTTCCTATAAAATCAGGCGAAGATTCTTCCTTTGATATCGAAAATGAATGTCCTCCTTTGCAACCCTTAGTCGTCTCTGAACGCTTTCGTCTTCTCTTCGTTGCACACTCCAATGGTTAGTGTTTGGTCTGACTATTCCACAGTGTACTACACAGCTCAGATGAGTCACCTTAATTTTTTTTTTTACAGGGTTTTGTGTTGCGAGAACAAAGGAGGTTATGACATCTGCCGAAGAGATTAAAGAGAAAGGTACTGGTCCCTCTATACAAGAATTGAGTGTTGTAGATGTTGCTATCGGAAAAGTCTCAATACTTGCATTGTCTGGAGATGAATCCTTGCTTGCCGCTTGTGTTGGCAATAAAATCCATTTCTACCCTGTTAGCGCCCTTCTTTACAAGGTATGTTTATTTGCTTTCAAACTACAACTTTACATGGAACACATGGGCTTCTTTACAATGTTTTTTAAATGCAAGTTTGAATACTTGTTCTTGACAGCAAGTAATTTGGCTTATTAATAAGGCATTGATGTATAAAAATAAGTAATTAATTAGCAGAACTGCAAATTTGATGCCCTTCACTCTTGTTTGTGTTGCTAATTAATAGGACCAAACACCAGCCTTTTCTCATTCTCTCAATGATTCAAGTATCATCAAGGATATGCAATGGGCTAAAAAGGCAGAAAAGGTTTATGTTGTCCTCGCAACTGATGGAAAGTTGAATAGCGGGGTTGGTCAAAGCCCCATTAAACAAGTTATGGACGATTGTGATGCTTGTATGTTTCCTTTATCCCTATTCCTCTTGATTATATTGAGGGCTTTGCTATCTGTTTTCTTTGGTCTTTTGCTTAGCTTTTCCCATAAAAGGTCCAGGAACTGTATAGGTCTCCAGTAAATTGAGATAATACTATTTGAGCAAGTTATTAATTCAGAAATTTCTTAGAATTCATTGAACTTTTACTATCCATAGAATTCCATGTGGATTTCTGATTTGATGAAGACATAAAGCTACCCCGTATATATGGTTATTTTATTTGCAAAATAACACCAATTGTGGGTTGATATATGTAAGCACACATGTGTGTGTTCCCCTTATTTATACGAGCTTTAAAGAACACCTAAGAATATGTTTTCCTTAGTTATGTAGGGATTGGGAGCCAATGAACACCATGAAAACATTTATATCATTTATAGACTTCAATTACTCCAAGAACCCTAAGTTTGTCAAAGAACTTGACTTACTTGATCCCTCCTTACTAGATCAAATATTAATGGGTTGGGTGTTTTGCTCTCGTGTCTTATCAGATGTTTCTTCTACTTCTTCCCTGCTTCTGCTTGGTTATTCTGGACTTAGGAGTTCAGGAGCTATTCATTTTTCGTAACTCGACATACAACTTTTCGTTGTAATCCGCTTCTCCTAGTGTACTTGTCCATCTTTCTTTCATTACCTTACCAACTCTTTGTGATTTAAATCTGATGAGATAAATTTCAGATATATTCATTTGGTTTTAGGGAGCCTCCACAAATGTCTTGTATGGTCTTGATAAATTGAGAGGAAAACCCGATAACATGTCGAGGTTTGTGTTTTTTATAATGATATGCAATGAAGAGTGACCACCAATCTAGAAAAAGTTCTTGACACTTCCAATATCATTTTAGACACCTTTTTTTTTTTTTGGCTTTAGCGCTAGATTGAAGCTCAAGTGGGAATTACATGTTCATATATGTCTCCTAGTCGGACAGACCTTTGGCCATAGGATTTGGGATCCTGATTTCAAATTTTGATTCGAATCAACATTTTTTTTAATGAAACCTGCAGAAATTTCAAATCCTGAAGTCTCCAAAAAGTAAATTTAATTCTAGGTTGAGATTTTTTGTAACGTAAAAGTTGATTGTAAAGTTTATATTTTGTAAAAAGACACTACTGTTTTAAATTTTTCAAAAAGAAAAACTCATGCTCGATGTGAAGAGGTTATCCGTTCCATGTGTAAGGATTATGTTAAAGTATGGTTGACTAGTGGATATTTGTAATATTATGTGTATGTAAAGTTTTAATAACATGTAATCATAAGCATTTATTTATAAAAGGAACATGAAGGTATTCATATACCTTATTTTTGAACTATAATCTGCTCCTTTGATAAGATTGTATAAGATTTGGGAAGTCATAGAAACTGTTTGGATTGACTTATTTTAGGTGCTTTTAAGTCAAAATAGCTTTAAGCACTTTTTGTAGTATTTGGCTAGAATAAAGAAGTGCTTTTAAGTACTTAAGGCAAAAATAAGCCAAAAGCTATAATCCCATCCAAAAAACTCTTAATTATCTTCAAAATTGTAGGTCTTTTATGTGTATGGGGAAAAATACAACTTAAGAAATCCAAATTGCACGACCAAATAAAATTTCAACTTCAAATTAACATGATTTCAAATCAGTGATATTTGAAATCATGTCCAATTGGGCTTTTAGTTCTTATTAGAACTTCCCAGTTGAGTTCATCTTTGGATTACTGTCAATCAGGGATTTAAGATTCGATATAGCATCTGCTTAAATAATTGTCACTCTCCTTCAACTAATATTTTCCACCAATGAATCTATGTTTGTCAAACTTTGTACTTGGCGAAATGTTTGCTTCAATTTTGCCCATTTTTTCACTGTTGCTATCTTTTCGTAACTCTTAATTCACCTGGTAAATAGCGGGGCGTAACCTTTGCTGGACTCATTCTCTATTAATTCCAATATCTTATTAGCAATGTAAGGCCGACCTGCTTGGCTGTGTTCAGATGTAATCACTGACATCTCCCCCTGGCCACACCAATTATATTCTAATTAACTCTGCGTATCAAAAATATAAAGAAGTAACTTCTTAAAAATAAAATGTCCAAAAACATAAAAAAATTCTAACGAACACTTCGTATATGCTGAAACTTTGTAATGCGTTGTACTCATTTAGTTGATTGTATTTTCTCCACGAATGCATATCGTGCCATTCTTATGAAGTGCTAAAATGAGGATTTTTCATATCAAGAACGTAGTGTTTTTTTCAACCGTTGGTCTACTAACAAAATTCTTCTTGTTTCCATCAGATCACACGTCACAATTGTCTATTAGGTTGAATGAGTCCTCTGGCCTAAAAATAAGTTTTTGTTTTCGTTTTTAACTCTAGTTGATTCAGTCGGTTAGTACTTCATGTCACCACATCACTAGGTTTTAGTTACAATTAAGATTCTTATCAGAGAAACTTCGTTTGATGATAGTCAGAAACATCAGGGGAAATCCGGTTGCTGCAATCAAGAATTTTCATGAAACAGGTTTCTTTGAAAAAAAGCATAAATGCGACCTTTGTGGCTTTAATTCCCAAGAAGGTGGGAGCAGTGGAGCTAAGTAATATTAGACCCATTAGCCTAATTGGGGGAGTCTATAAGATCATTGCCAAATTATGGTCAGAGAGGTTCAGAAGATCATTCACAGACTAGAGGACAGCAGATGACATTTATTAAGGGAAGGGATATTATGCATGCAATCCTAGACAAAAGCCTAAAGCCAGGTATTCTCATTCACATGCTGCAAAGAAGGGGTTTGGCACAAGATGGATGATGTGGACCAAACACTGCATCAGCACCATGAGTTTCTCAGTTTTAATCAACAGAACTCCAAATGTTTTTTTTTCTTCTCAGAGGGGACAAACGGACAGGGAGATCCCCTGTCCGTTTCCTGTTTGTTTAGCAATGGAAGGAATGAGCATCATTCTTCTCAGATGATGCTTTAGTTTTTTGTGAAGCTGAGGAGGAACAAGTTCTGATGCTGAGGGTGATATTCATCATTTTTTAAGCAGTGTTCAAGCTCCACATTAACTGGGAAAGAGTTTCATATACCCCATAATGAAGTAACTCAACTGGAGTTCCTGGCAGAGAAATTAGGTGGTAAAGTAGATAAACCTCCAACCATTTACCTTGGCATGCCCCTGGGTACCAAAAGCAAATCAAAAAGGGATTTGAATGGAGTGGGGAAGAAATGTGAAAAGAAGCTCAAATTGGAAGAGTCAATATTTATCTAGCGGAGGTAGGTTGACTCTTATAAACAGTGTACTGAATGCACTTCCCTCCTACATGATGTCCATTTTTCTACTTCCTGCTAGTGTTATCAAGGGACTGGATGCAGTGAGAAGGAATTTTCTGTAGTAGGGTAGTGAATTATAAGAAGTTCCACCTGGTTAAATGAGTGGAATTAAAGCGTGCGAGGAAAATGAGATATCGGGATCAAAAATTTAAAGAAGCAAATTTAGAGGTTGATGATGAAGTGGCTATGGAAGTTACATCTAGTGAAGATATGCTATGAAAGATGTTTTTTTTTAGAATGGTAAAGTTGTATTCATCAGCAATGAGGATATGCTGGCAACCAAACAAAAAGTACAAGTCAAGTAGTCATGATTACAAATGTGAACTGGTCAAGCATGGAATCTGTACTTCAGAAGGCATCTGAAAGACTGAGATATGGAGAGTGTTTTTCATCTCGTCTTCTGTCTTCTTCACTCACTCCACCCTAATGGTTCCATCATCTACACCCCACGATTCTGGTCTTGTTAAAATGGAAGAGTCATCAATAGATTCTCAATGTTCGCTAGATGACTATATTGATTTCTTACTCTCCGGTCTAACCTTTTCGCTTTTCGACACATGTCCTTATGATTTGATCATGTCATCTTAATTTTTTCCATTAGATTTTCTTTACTCCCTTACCTGCAAATGTGACTCTTTTATTGAGTCAAAACTCAGAACACGTAAATTTTATCAATTAGTGACAGTGAGATTCAGTTTAAAACGTTTGTTGTTTTACCGTGTTGAATAATGTAATTAGCTGTATCACACGCTGACTAGGATTGGAGTGTCTAATAGGTAAATGCCTTAGTTGAGGTGTTTAAATGAAAAGTTATGGCAACTTCAAGCGATCTTTTATGTGTTTTGCCCTTTTTATGCTCCTCTGTCCCAATATATATTGCATATATTGTTTTTTAGTCTGTCCTAAAAAAATGTAATGCTTCCTTATTTAGAAATAGTTTACTTCAAATTTCCCATTTTACTACCAATAAGATGATTATAGTCACACAAATGTCTATGACTTCTTTTAGACACAAGTTCCAAATATCTTCTTTCACTCTTAAACTTCATACCCAGTCAAATACTGCCGCATAAATTGTGATGTAGGGAGTTTTTTTTTCCTGAAGCAGTAGCTTCAATCATTTTTCTGTAGTTATCAGGATGTATAGAGCAAGAATTACGAAGTGACTGATGGGTGTTTCCTTTTTTGCTTTTAGGAGGCAGGGGAATATGCTTGATAAGCTATAATTTCAAGCTTTTAACTACTTCATGATCTGATTTACAAGTTACGCCTATTGAATTTTATGTGTATTGAGCTTGTTCTTATTTAGCTTCATTATGTTGTATAGTTGGGTGGAGTCCGGATGGCGAGTTTATTGCCATAACAAGGAAGAATTTGGTTAGCATTCTATCATCAAAGTTTGAGGAGAAGTTCAGTATATTACTATCATTTAAGTCACTGCTTGATGATCTTAATGCCAAATACGTTATCAAAGGTAAATTATATTTTTGTGCTTTTGTCATGTTATTTCAGGGTATTTGAGTGAGTTAGGTACAAACGAAATCTTTTTACGTTTTAACTTATGCATCCAATTCTTGTATAATGCTCTTGCTTAATGGATTTCAGTAGTAAGCTTCTGCTACTGTGTTGCTTTTTTGCTTCTTCTATTTAAAATGAATTAGGTAAGTAACATCTGCAAGGAGATATAAGTGAATACAGAAAAAATCTTTCTAGTGGTTTAGGTTGTGAGATGAGCGATGTCAACTGTTCATCTGAAAACTATTTAATTTTGCTAAATAGATACAATGCTTTAGGGGTGTCAAATGGGCGGATGGGGTTGAAATTGGGGATATTAAAATGGGTTGAAATAGAAATTGGGTTGGGTCATGATCCGCCCAAGTTTGTACTTTGGGCTCAAATTGGCTAAAAATCTGGCTGCGTTATGACCCGCCCAACTTGATCCGCTTAATCTTGATAATTTTGACATATTGTTATTTAACTTTTATAATCACAGTTTGAACTTCAACTCAAGAAAATAACAAAAATAATGGATAGATAAATCCTAGAAGATAGAAAATACATAGTAATTTGTACCTTCAATATGAGAACATACATTACATTAACACAAATAAAGAGTCTTATTAAAGATACTTTAAAAATAGGTTAAGGCTTGAACGGGTTGAGATTGAACCCAATTCAAATTATCTTGAGCCCATAGAATTCGGGACGTGTTGGATGGGTTACCTACATTTGGGCTCATTTTGATACCCCTATAGGGCTTTTTAAATGAGGTTCTAGTTTCTCTAGATTTTAGCTTTGTAGATCTGCTATTGCCATATAAATTTCTGATCTAGGTGAGAGCTAAACTGTGTTTGGTTAAAGTTGTCTATTATATGTTAAAATGTTGGACTTGTTTGAAAAAGAAAGAAATATCCATCCTGTCCATTGCTACCTCCATCAATACAAATCCAAAATGGGGTAGTTTTGAAGTCGAACTTCTGTGAGGTGTGTCTACATGCGTGAAACACTTCACTGTTGAAGAGTCCTACATAAAATGAAAAAGGGATGGGTGGTCACCTTATGTGGTCTTTGGGCAATCCTCCCCTCTTGAGCTAACATATCTTCATCTAGTGCTGGATTCCTCATCTTTTAGTTCTTTATGTTTTCGTCTACAAAGAAGTGGAGGAATAGTAATTTCTGCTCTGAAAATAGCTTAGAGGAATCATTAGGATCTTCTTTTAATGACAGCTTTTTGAAAGGAGGAGGTATTTTTGGGTTTAAAGTAAACATTCATAGAATTTAATTATTAAATGTGGAGTACACTCAAAAAATCTGAAGAAGGGAAGACTAGTCAAATAACTAAAATTTTGCAATAGCTAATGAGTAGGCTAAATATTTTGTCCCTGAAGAGTTAAAATAAGGGAGGTGTGTAGAATATTTTAAATCACAAGCTAGGTAGTGCTATTGATGTTCTAAAATCTTGTGCCATTTATGCTGTTGATATTATTTACTTATCTTCATGACGGTTTGTTACTTCTGTATTGCTCATAATTATATTGCTACTATTTTAATAAATCTGTATTATTTTTCCTGTACTGTCTGCAGTTTTTTGAATTGTTACTATTTGTAATGTCTTTTCACATAGAGTTAATATTTTTGGGGTTTTTGCCTTGCGCCTTAGGGCTTTTGCCACACCCATGCTTGGTATAGCATCTCTCAGAGTCTCGTCTTTCTAACTTCAAACTGTCAAAAATTTCAAAATGGTTGAAAAGCCTCCGCTTCTTGGTTGTTGCGAATAAATTTCTGCCGATTCAGTATCAGTTAGTCAAATTTCGTATTAATTAACCTGTAGATGTATTATACGTTAACTATCTGTTGTTTCAATTAGTGGATGTTGTCAGATGGATTCGTCCTGAGTATTATAATTGGATGTCTTCAAGTTAATGATGACGATGTATTATACGTTAACTGACTGTTGTTTCAATTAGTGGATGTTGTCAGATGGATTCGTCCTGATTGTATTATAATTGGATGTCTTCAAGTTAATGATGACAATGAAGAAGAGGAAAGTTATGCGGTGCAAGTCATCACAAGTGAGAATGGAAGAATAACTAATGTAAGTGATGATTTCAATTGCAGAGAATCTAATTGGAGTTACTGTTGTATTTCATTGTTCATATTTTGATGTACGTTCTTTAGTAGAAGAGTTTGTTGTAGTATGCGTCTGACATGTGGTACATTTTTAGAAACCCAAGGTGAGAGATTTGTCAAAATTATCTCTTATGTAAGTGGCTAGATGAGTACCTGTAAGAAAAAAGTAATTGGCTAGATGAGCCTTTTCCTATGAGGCCTGTTATATTGTCAACTTGGGGTGATACAGTGAAGAAGGCCTTTGTGCAGTGTGTTTGCTGTTGCTGCTTCTGATAGATGAGCAAAAATGCCTTTTTTTAAAAAACTGAGGCTGATTTTTTTTTTGAAACTGGAGCAAGATGTCTTTCAAAATAGGGCTTGTCCCAATTTATGCTCAACACTTGGGTTCTAGTATTTTAATGCCTTAATGGTGTTGGAATTATATATATTTTTTAGCTGTGTGCTGACAGAGGAATTTTATATAGTAAAATTGTGTAGAAAACATCCATTTAAATCTTAACGGAGGCAAAAAATCAGTAGGTGATTTCTTTCATCTGTCCAAGCCTTGATGGACATAGTTACCCTGTATCTGTTTTGGTGGGAAGTAGCAGGTACCCTGTGAAATTAGTTGAGGTGCACACATGCTCTTGACACCACGAGTATAAAAAGGGGTAGTAATTCCATGATTGATTTGCTTTTTGAAATTGTTCTTGTGTTCCTCCATCAAATTCACAACACTTCCATTCTATATAAATCTGAGCAATTTGGAGAGAATGGTGAGCATTACAGAGCTTTCCAAAAATTCTGAAGATCTCAAGGATATATGTTGTTTTTGGTGAACATTAAATAGCCTTTTCCTATACTAGACATTACTTGTCCTAGAAAATCCTGGCATAGCTGCAGCCTTTTCCTGACATGATTTCAAGTTCAAATATGTCCATTGCTAGAATGGAAAGGTTACAACAAGGTCGGACCATGTCACCTAAAACTTTAGTTTATGATCATTGATCATGAATTTTTCGTTTGTAGTATTTCCCATCTATACTGAGAGTGTTTAAAAGCAAAAAGGTTTGACAAATGAAGCAAGTACAAAGAGAAAATAGGAAGCTAAAATAGGATTCCAGACGCTCCCCTGGTTAAAGAAGATACATAAGAAAAAGAACAACACAAAGCTCTTTGTTGTTTAGAAGAGCAAGAGAGTTCACATGCAGACACATCTGCAGCAACTTAGGTTCGAAGATCAGACACTTGGCGATGACCTTGACAGTTGAGATCATACGATGTTGGTGCTCTTAATCTCCACCCTCAAGTGCTACTATAGTTGGTGGAAAGTAACCCAGAGGGAGTTAATGATTAAGATTTGTTTCCTTCAGGAAAACTCACATATCTGGATCTGGTAACAGTTTCTGTCGGGATGAAGGGGTTGTATTTTAATCTTCGGATTTGTTTCCTTTAGGCTTTCATTGAATTGTTAGAACGATCTCTTATGCTTGTTCCATAAGCAATTTGTTACCTGCTTACTTGCTAGGCTTCTTCTTTTTTCGGTTATGTTATTTTTTCCCCTTTGCAGCCTTTAGCTAAGCCGGTCGTAAGGTCCTTCAGGGATGTATTTCTTGACTTCCGTTACGATGCAGTTCCTTCATGTAGTGGACCTCATCTCTTCTCGAGCTATTTGGATCAACAGTATGTATCATTACTTTGCCTTTATGATAATTGATAGGTTTTCTGCATCTGGATTTTATTGAAGTGTTCCTTTAAAATTTCACTTTCCAGTGTTTTTGTTGTTCGCTGAGTAATGTAAATCACTTTCCAATTTTCTTTTCAATTTGCAGTGTTTATATTCAGTTATCTCATCTTTTGTCAATGTTATCTTGTACTTGAATTTCACTTTCCAGTGTCTTCTGTTGATTGTGACTAATGTATATCACTTTTCAATTTTCTTTTCCACATTCTGCAAAAGGGGATTCTTGATTAAGTCTTCTTGGCTATTCAATTACAGTCAGCTGGCATTTGTGGCTAATAGGAAGAATTTGGATCAGCACATACTGCTGTTTGGATGGTCAGTTGGTGATACAAAGAATGAAGCTGCAATTATTGAAATTTTGAATGATAATTGGTCTCCAAAGATTGAGGCTCATGGTGATCTAAGCTTTCTTTCAGTTTTACCTTATCTTGTATAAGATTGCTTTGTGTTATGCTTGTCAAAATCAGTTTGCTTCTTTCTTAATACGAGTTTTCCTAAAACACTAAAATATTTATTTTGGTATCAGACATTGGTGATGATATCTTGATATTGGGACTTGCCATCGACAAAGTTTCCCAAAATGGGGAAATTAAACTGTTGCTTGGTGAAGAAGAAAAAGAAGTTTCACCATGTTGCCTTCTCCTTTGTCTTACCAATGATGGAAGACTTTCCATTTTTCATTTTGCTAGGTAATTCCTCAGCTATCCAAACCTATATGAGGTTATTTTTCAATGATTTGAACTGGTTTCTATGCCCGACGTTGATAATTTTTCTGAAGGCTATGAATGAATAAATGTCTTTGTAGTGCTACTGCTGCTTCAGTGTCACCCCAATCTACTGATTTTGAAGAGAAAAACAACTCTTATAAAGTGGCATCATCACAAGATTTGGTAGTTGAATCTTCCAGTGCTAGGAAGCAAATCAACCAAGTAGATTCAGCACTGCAACCCCATGAAATAGACAGAGGTCACAAAGTTCTTGCCACAAGTGCTCAATCATCTGTTGCAGAGAAATTTAGCTCAGAAGAAGCGATTAAAACCACTAATCAGGTAAGCCAACCTCTCTCATTAGTGGGAAAGCTATAAGCAGCAAGAAGCAAAGAATCTTCTATGATAATTAATCTTGGCGGAGTCTGAACATTCTTTTAAACTTTTGCAGAACCAAGGTGCAAATTTGATGCTGTCTGCATCCAAAACATTTGTGTCTGTGGATGCTGGAGGTGTGAATAATTTTAGGACACAAGAAACTGAAAAAGTAGCTAG